TGGTGTCAGCGACTGTATAAAAAACTGAGAGAACTTGTAGAAATGGTGTTCTGGTGAATCTGTAACCTGGTTTTAAGGGCTGTATCAGCAGATGCCAGAAGAAAAGGTTATCAGTCAAGGATCCATTAAAAACAAATAAATGATGTCAACTGACTGACACCTTGATACACAATAGGCACATCTGTAAGGTTTCATACGAGCCGAAATGGGTAATAAAACTTTTTCATGTCATTTAGTCTCCTTTGGGCACATGACTTACGTTATTTAGAAACTTACAAACTCTAAGAAAACATACACTTCATCATTGTGATAGAAAAGGATATGCAGGTATCTCTTGCCAGGACTATAGATATGTATAATATATAGCTAGAAGTCATTATAGCAGAATTTTTATTTATAATACACCAGTTGGTATGGAGAACAAGCTTAAAAGCATGCCAAATATTTCAATAATAATTGTTTTGCTGTAAGCACCTCATAAAATCTATGAGCATTTCCTCTGAATGTACTCAGGAGATCCCTGAGATATAGCAGTTTAACCTAGACATGGGCTTGTTTGTGGCACTAACAGCAACCCTGTTCCCAAGTTGAAGTCCCGTGGTACAAGCAGTGGGTCCTCTTTTTCAGGGGAGCACTAATAACATAAGTTTCATACAATTAAGTTTGACCTATTACTTCATATGCCCTTTATATAACAAAATGAGTGTGGGACATTTTATCTTTATGTGGATTTGCAGATTAGCATTTACTAGTTTACTTCTTTTATTTTCTCCAGCTTTCCTTTAAAAGATCTTCGCTGATTATTCTGACACCTGCTGGCAAGGGCAGACTTTATCCCAATCTACTTTTCCTTTGACAACTCTCTCAAATCAGACTTCTTGGAGGTATTTTAATTGACAATTAAGTGGTGATTCATTCAGTTTAAGTATTTACTTAATTTCTAGCATTATCGCATAACTATGAGAAAATACTCAACATGGGTAACCATTTGATTTTTTTTAGATAAATACTTGTTTGCTTTGATTAACCAACAGATATTAAAGTCATTACATGGGCAATGATTTAAAAAAGGAAAACATACTAGGCATCTTCATTAAAAATGCAGATGAGAACTGAATAATAGGAATGGCTTGGCTTTGATTTTCTACTGTTTCCCCTGCCACAAACATACAATGCCAGTTTGCAAACTACTTAGGAAATAAACTCAACTATATAAAGAGTAAATTTATTAGCTGTGATGGAAGCCATACCATTGATTACATATTTGCAAAATTTATTTGTTACTCACTACCTATTCATTCTGATTTACTCTGGTTTGAACTGTGCTCTGAATCCTGCATTTTTGTTGTTTGTTTGTTTTGTTTTGGCCAGGATACAGTATAATGAACCTACTACATCACAAATCATACTCAATGCTATTGCACCTGCAAGTATGTTCAGTGAAGACCAAATATCAGAATTAGTTTCTTGGGCTTTAGAAACTTGAATTTAGCAAGTTTTTAAAATTCAAAACTCTGCAAAAGATAAAAAGTTTAAAAATAAATTACCTAATTAACATTTTTATCTTAATATCAGTGAAATTAGGAGTATGGGCTACAAATGTAGGCTGTCAAAACTATTAACTTATATTTTGTAATGGTTGTGAGTAACCAAGCTATTTTAGTCATGTATACTTTATCCCTTTATGCTGCTATAATTTTGTGAGGAGAAATCATATGTATCCAGCAATGAAAGCAAATGTTATTAGTAACATTAAAAATATCCTAAATCCTGAATACATGTTTTATATCAATAATGATCTTAAGATATTTGAGAAAAATACAACAGAGTTTTAATTTAGAGAAGTGCTATACATTTGCCTGGTTTTGAAGATCTTTGTTACTTCAAGACCCTAGAGAGAAGAATAGGCTATTTCAATTTTTTAACCATTAGTTTGTATTATTATAAATGTTTTCCCAAAATCATATAAATTTAAAACAAAATGCATTTCAATTCTAAGGAAATATTTCAACAATAATGTTCAGGAAAAAAATGTTCATGCGCAGAAGGGGGAGGAAATGTACGTTGCACCATGACAGTGGATGACATGGCCAAGATTTTGCATTAGTGTGAAATAGTCACAGCAGGAAACTTAATATCCCCTTAATTATTACTTCAACATCTCAAAATTATTTTTAAAGGTTTCAACAGGAATCTAAAGTTAGCATGTATCTTTAAAGTATAAAATGAATGGTCATGTAAATTAGGTAATGAAGACACTAATATGTAATAATTTTAAACACATAAAAAACTGTTATTTCAGCATAAATATTACTATACTAGTATAATCATACAAGCATAGTGTTGTTATCCAGTGAGATTGCTCAGCTACTAAGCATAGTGTTGTTATCTCCAGTGAGATTGCTCAGCTACTAATTTATTTTCACGTAGAATTAACTAAAAATCACCATTTATTTAAAAAGGAAATGTAAATACCGATGATTCAGAGTATTTAGGAAGTGTCTAGACATCTTTAGACAGTGCCATTTGCTAAAGACTTCAAGCACAAACTGCAGGCAAAGGGACAGATTGCATAAGATGTCACGTGCTTGCTGCAACTGTATGCATGTTATTGGATTTTTTAGAGCAACCCATAACGATGAATAATTTAAGAGTTAATAAAATATTCAATCTGACTGATCCATTGGTTTAATTTTAAAATAAAAATAACTAATAAAAGGAATTACACGTCCTTATCAAATCCCAGGCATTAATGCACGGAAATTGCAACCCACACAGGGAAACTCCAATTTCTAAAAGGCATACATTGGATAAATGATATGTGGGGGGTTGGGGGGAGGGCAGGGAAGGTGCAGGGAAATTCTAAGTGTTAGCACCAGCTTTAATAACTTTGCTCAAAGTTTAATCGTTTGGAGCTGTCATGCAAGCTGCACTCTGCCTTCTGCAGGGCTGAAGGAGAATAAAGTGGAAATGTGCAAGTTTAACATAAATTGCTCATGGAAAATGGTGTTTTTTCCTAAATCCCTCTCCCTACAGGCTGGCTGACAAGAGAACCCAACTGAAGATTCTGGAGTGCACAGCTGCTGGCATTGTCTAGGAGCCTGAGTGGGAGGCCAGGCAACCTCACCAAGGTGTGTCGTCTGGCGGGTTAAACTGTGCCCTAACCCTGGTACCTAGGAGGCAGCGCTCTGGGCTGCAGCGAGCTGGGACTCATCCTGCCAAGGGCTCCTCACCCGGACCAAACAAGGCGACAGGGGCCCAGTAGCCACACACGCTAAAGGCGCCGTTGCCTCCACCTCGGAGCTGGGACAGATGGTGGCACCTTGTAGGTGCGTGTGAGTGGGTGAATGTGTGTGTTTTCGTGTTTGGAGCAGGAACGGAGGTGGGGAAGGGAGGAGGAAAGACGGAGTGCCTGCAGCTCCCCCTTTCTCCCTCCAGCTAAAGGATCAAAGTACAAAAGCAATTCAGAGGGGAAATAAGAGAAAGGGGAAATATTGGTGGTGGGAACACAATCTTTTTCGTATCGCTGGGGACTCCACCGAGCAACTATGGAGCCATTACCATTCCGCAACCTTAGCGGAGTGGCTGCCTCTGCCTGATCCCTGGAAGGGCACTGGGTAAATGCAGGCGAGGTTCATACCTACACATACGCCTACCCGCGGGGGAAAGAGCCTCGTTCCGGGAGAGGGAGGGAGGAGGCCCAGGAAGGAGAGGCAGCAGATCGCTACTGGCGGGCGGGGAGGGCATGTGGCCAGGAACGCGGGCGAACAGTAGCCGGAGAGCACACAATTGTCCTGCGAAACAAATGGAAGGACGGGTGCATGGACGGATGGTGCAGAATATTCATTCAGTATGCAACCTCGCATGAATTCTAGTCAACACATTTTCCATCCAACTCTCCATTCTCAGAGGCAGAGTATTTTAAACCAGGCAGTGCACTCAGCTCTCCGCAAGCAGCCTGCGGACTCTTCAGAAGGGGCTGCCGGCACCGGGAGTGCAGAGGGGGGCACCCCCTCCCCCGGCCTCCCCAGAGCCCCACTGCGCCCTCTGCCCTTTTCCCACGCCCCCTTCAGCCCCCACCGCTGCAGAGATAGGGGGCCCACCCTGGGCTTGTGTTGATAAGCGACCCCTGGCAAGGGACCTGGAAGTCACAACTCAGCAGGAGACTCGTCCCGGTCCTCTTTTTTTTTTTTTTTTTTTCTCCCCAACAGGCTGGTTTATTTCACACAAATCATGGAAAGCACCGGCAGGCCAGCTCTTACAACTTTTCCGCTCTTGGGCGGAACAGGAGGGTCATCTCGCACCGCATGATTTTCCATTTCCAAGAGTGAAGCATGCACAGAAGGGAGGGCTGGGCAAAGCCTGAGGCCCCTAGGATTAGAGGAGAGGTGGCTTCCCCGGGGTTTTCTGGAGCCGAGGCTGCCTCCGAGGATGGAGAGGAGGAAGAAAGCAGAACTGACTTGTCTGACAGTTCTCCATCTCACTCTCAGCCCAAACTCCCCGTGTGAGGCTTGGGTTGCAGAAGGCTCAGCCCAGCCTCGTGCCAAAGCTCTGCACCCGCGGGGCAGGCAGTCCCGCGCCTCTCCAGCCACTTCCCTTTTCAACTAGATGAGCCCAGACCCAGCCCAGGGATGCCCACCCGGGGTGCCTAGCGGGCTCCGGACAGCACTGTCCTTGGCCGGCCCTGCTCCGGGAGGGCTCACGCGGGCCGAGTGAGAATCTGTGGTGCCCAAGAACGCCGTTCGTTCCCTCCTGCCTCTCTTCTTCCCTCAATCTCACCTCCGTACCGCACCCTCTTTCCTGCTCAACCCCACGCACTTGCTCTGACTTTAAGGGCACTTTTCGGGAGAACCCAGGGCGTGCTGCCTCCTCCGCGCAGCCCGCCACCCCTGGCAAGTCCAGGGGAGCACCTCCAGCGCCAGGCACGGCATTCCCCTGTGTCCTGCACCCAGTGGTGGCGGCGCGGGTGGGGTGGGGTGGGGTGGGGGGAGGCTCCTCACCTTTGCAGAACTGGGGGACACAGAAGCTGAGCCCGACCAAGAGCCAAGCGGCCACCGAGTGCTTCATGATCCCTTCTTCGGGACTTGACCCCGGCTGGGCAGGCGATGGAGCAGGGGGGGCACGTGCCCGAGGTAGCACCGCAGGGCAGCAGCAACCCCGCCCCTGACCGTGAATTCAGGAAGATGTCTTCTTCCGGCAGCGCTTCCTCAAACAAATTCTTGGAGAGGGCGAGGAAGAGTGGGTGCCCGAAGGGAGGGCTGTCTCTCCTGCTCTCGCCTGCGCTCTGGCGCAGAGGTGGGCGAGCTCTGGCAGCGGCGGGTCTCAGCCTCCCGCGGCGGGTGGGTCCCGGCTGGTGCTGGGCGGCCGGGGTGGGGCGCGGAACCCGGGCTCCAGGGTCACCCGCTCCCGCGATCGCAGGCTGGACCCTCGGCGAGCCAGCTGGGGCCGCTCTCCGGGGCTCGGCTGCGGGGCTGCCGACTTGGAGAACCATGAGCGTGAGGCGGGGGACCAACCAGCCGGCCCCCGAGCACACTGTGTTACAAAACAGAAGGCGTGGTGCGAGGCGGGCTCCCGGCTTTCCAGGGGCCCCGACCCGCCGCCCTCTTATACCTTCCTCTCTTCCTCCGACTCCCGCCCCCACCCCCACCCAGCCCCCCCTCCCTCTCTGACTCTGTGGGTCTGTCTCTCTCACTCGGAGGTGGCTCCTTCTGCTGGAAAAGGGAGACAACCGCAGCCACACCCTGGCACCTGCCGCCGCCTCTGAAGTTCCTACCTTCCTGGGCGGCTGGTACCGTGTCCGCACGCCCCAGAGGCGCAGAGCTAAGGGAGGCACCTTCGGTGTCTGAGATTCTCCTGGTTTCCAGCACCGACTTTATCATTAACCGCGTTAAGGATTCCCCCGGAGCCCTTTTCTCAGTACAGCCGGGAGAGGAAGTTAAGAGGTTCTGAAAAGTAGCTCTTGGGGCACAAAGCTGCTGGAGAGACAGAACCCTGCAAAGTCACTTGTCCTGGATTCTCAGGAAATGCGACCGATTGAGCAGCGAGACTCCATCCAGCTAAGACGGGGCTGCTTCACTGTCTGTCTGCACTTCTGTTAGCTCTGCGGCTGGGGCAGAGGGTGGAGGGCTCATCTCTTCAAGGGGACCTAAAGGTGAGGGCTGGGGCTAGAGAATAGGAGACATGTGTCTGTTTCAGATGAGAAACATTGGGGTGAATTGGGGGCCGGGCAATGACAGATTCTTGAAGCCTCACTAAAGTGGATCAAATCACCCTATTACCCACAAAAACAGTATAAATGGACTGGTTTGGGCAGTGGAAATAGCTGAACCAAAATATAGCCCTTGGCTTACAATAGTGTTCTCCTCTTTTTCTGATTAGAATGACCACTTAGTGTACATGGATTCCGTTTCGGCAGTTGCAGGCACCAAAATGAAACACTCGTTTTGTTTTCTTCTTTCCTTCCAGAGAGGGTGGTAGGAAGAGAGATATAAACACAGACGCAGAAAAATTGAAGGGAACATTCTTGAAGGCAAGGATGTGAAAGGAGACTGTATGTACTAAGCAAAGGATAACAGGGTATTTGGCCATGCAAACTCCATCTCCCTTTGCCTGCTTGGGTTCTTTAAACTTTAATTTCTACCTTCCTTTTGGAATTTGAAGTGAGATCAAGGATAAAAGACTGGTGGAAAAGTATTATTATATATTGCTATGGAGGAGTTAAGGTATTGTACTGCTGGCAAATAAAACACAATGGCATTTCAAAATTATTTCAAAACAAGGTTTGTTCAAATCATATGCTTGGTGGGAGGGTAAAAGAATAGGGTTTACAGTTTATATTCAATATTATTCTGTATAATTTCAGGTGTACAGCATATTGATTAGACAATCGTAAATACTTTACAAAGTGTTCTCTCTGATATTTCCAATACTCAACTGGAACCATACATAATTACAGTATTATTGACTATATTTCATATGCTGTACTTTACATCCCTATGACTATTTTGTAATTACCAATCTGTGCATCTCAATGCCTGCTCCTTTTTCACTCAGTTGGTGAAAGGAATCGTTTTTTAAAATGACTTTGCTAAGGGAAAGAGGGAGAATCATTTATTCACTATTTTCATGCTTCAAGCCACTGATGTTAGAATAAGACATCATTGTCCAGAGTTGCAGCACAGAAGTTTTAAACAGTGATATTCCAACCTTCTCGCACATCATTATTACTGAATTTTGAAAGCGGGCTTTCAGTCATGCTGTGGCATGTCTGCCATAAGGGACCTTTTTATTTTTTTGAAATGAGATGTTTAGTATTAGTGTGAAGGTATTATTTCAAAGGTTAGTACTAAATCTCAAAAGTATAAAATGAAAAACAGTGTCTCTGTGATGAGGTATTATTTTCCTATTTAATTCCCATTTATTTCAACTTTTTTTTATAATATATGACCTTAATAAGCATGTTAGGAAGTTAATTTTTCTGTTGCTACAGTGTATGTTACTAAAAGTTTTTCTTGTTTTATGTTTTAAATATATTTTTTATTGATTTCAGAGAGGAAGGGAGAGGGAGAGATAGAAACATCAATGATGGGAGAGAATCATTGCTCAGCTACCTCTTCCATGTCTCCTACTGTTGATCGAGTGTACAACCTGAGCATGAGCCCTGACCAAAATCAAACTGTGACCTCCTGGTTCACAGGTCTACACTCAACCACTGAACCACACCAGCTGGGCAAGTTTTCTCATTCTAATTTAAATTCTTAAAAAAAAAAAAACCCAAGAGAGCATAAAACTACATTAAATGCATATTCTGTGACCAAATACCTGGAATTATGACTATAAATGCCATTCTGTTTAACCTGGTAGACAACTTGTAATATATGTTGCCAGTTTAATACCTCTACTTCCACAAGTCCCATTTCCAATCTCATTGATACATAGCCTTAGATCCATAGCTTCCTGTGCTTAGTTACCCCCTTTTTCTCACTTATTGATAATGATCATGTACCAATCAGCTTTTCATTTTGAAGGTTCCAGGCACTTTACCTAATTTACATTGATAGCACTCATTTCACTCTTACTAAATTCATATCTAGCCTCTTCAGAAGTGGAATAGAAGAAATGTTAGAAGACCAAAAGATATAGATTTTAAAAAGAAGAAAAAATAAAAGGATAAAAATCTGTTATGAATCTTTTAGCTCACATAAAATGCTAAGGGTCCTTTACTAAGCATATATGATCCAGGCTACATTTTATAGCTTCTGCAAATATGTGCCTAAAATACAAAAAATGAATCTATACATCATTTGAAAACAGCACTTCCAAAATATTTTCTGCAAGCTTACTTCCCTCAAGATATTAATAGGTTTCTGAGGGAAAAAACAAATTTTGCCATGGTCCAATAATTTGGGTAACATTGCATATCAAAGCAGCATCTTGAGGATTCATGGCGAACACTAGCATATGAAACTCTGAAAGGTGCTGTGGTTATGAAACTTTTCCAGACATGTGTAATTCAGAATTTTGTAAACTTCTTTTTTCACTAGGACAAGTTTTTTCTCAGAACACCTGTTAACATATTGTACACTTAGTGCTACAAGGAAAAGAACTTGGAAAACATTGCCAGAAAATAAAGCAGAATACTAGTAGAGTATCAGCAAAACTAACAAAAATGGAAGTGTGTAAAGTTTACTGATTTTTAAGAATTGTTCTTATTTGCTTATAGTTTGGATTCTGGAGCAGAACATATATGAATTGAAATACTGTCTCTACCACTATAACTTTTAACGTAGGCAAGTCCAGTAATTGCCAAGCCTTACTATTTTAATCTGTAAAATGGAGTTAATAAAAGTACTAAACACATACTAGTAGTGATAGGTTATTGTCCCAAAAGGGCCTAGCCCTGCGGTTCTCAACCTGTGGGTTGCGACCCCTTTGGGGGTCCAATGACCCTTTCACAGCGGTCACCTAAGACCATTGGAAAACACATATATAATTACATATTGTTTTTGTGATTAATCACCATGCTTTAATTATGTTCAATTTGTAACAATGAAATTGGGGGTCACCACAACATGAGGAACTGTATTAAAGGGTCTCGGCAGTAGGAAGGCTGAGAACCACTGGCCTAGCCCATTAGTGGTTTCACAGTGATGATTATGATGATGATGATAACAATAGTGATGATGGTGATGATGATGAAGAAGGAGGGGGAGGAGAAGGAAGAGGAGAAAATGAGTAAGACAATAATCACTTATGGAATTAAAAAAAATTATCTCAATAACTAATTACCTTCATTCCCCATCTACCACCTCCATTAAATTATCAAAAAATTTTAAACTTAACTTCTAATTTGTCAAACAGTAAAAAACACTAAATGTATTATTTCTCATTATTTCTGTAATTATTGAATAATATTAATAAATAAACTAAGTACATGAAGAGTCTTAGATTATTTTATCAAATGGTACTTGGTACTATGATTTTTTTTTATCATTTTGCATTTAAAAACTTTGTTTTGCATTTCAAAAACTTTATTTTCTTTAATATCCAAAATGTCCTTGGATTAAACTTTGGATTTCAGCCTTGTGTGACCCAAAGAAGAAAATCCAGTCAAGTCCTGACCTGGACTTCTGACATACGTAACTGTGAGCTAATAAATTGGTGGTGTTTAAATCTGGTAAATTTGCAATAACCTGGTAAGCAGAAAGGAAAAAATAGTACAATAGATCACTATTATTACCCCTTTTTAGAGGGAAGGAATAAGGCACAGATCGGTTAGGTAGAGTGCCCATGGTCTCAACTTAGTAAGTGTTGGAGCCAGTAATTGAACCTAAACAGTCTGAATTCAGAGCCAACCACACTCCACTGGCAGCAATCATGGAGGCTCAACTGTATATTAAACACTAAGCATTTTCACATGTTAATATTGCTTCACTAAATCATTCCAACCAGCTTTATGAGGTAACCATTATTTTTATCTCCACTTAACTATTGAGGAAATCAAGGTTCAAAACTTGCCCAAGATTAAGTCATTTGAAGTAATTTGCCCAAGAGGGATGGAGCCAGGAGCCAGGAGCCAGGAGCCAGGATCTGAGCCCTGATTTGATTCCAGGAGTGATTTTCATAACCATTATGTTGTAGGGTATATTTACAAGTCATCTAACTTACTGTACTAGTATGTATTTATATTTTTAATTGAAGAAAGTATATGTAATTGTCATTTTTAGTGTAGTCTGCATTCTCTCTGACCTTCTTGATCTAT